TTGACTCTGAACTTTCAGTGCAGTCAGTTGGCTCTCCAAGTTTTCAGCAGCAACGCTACAAGTAAGATATTTATTGATAAGTTCGGGATCTTTTTCAATTTTGTCAGCAATTTTTTTCACGCGATAAGCTAAATTATTGGCCGCATCAAATTTGAGATCATGGAATAAATTCATTTCAGGAAAAAACACATTCTGGAGGTTGCGTTTCCGCAAAGAATTTTCTAACGCTCTAAGACATCCAATGAAACGAACATCAATCTTCTCAACTGGCCAGTCATTATAGCGACAAGACTCTAACATCACTAAGTGTTTAAGGTGATATGATTTAATTGCTAACCAATTAGAACCGTCCATCTCTCGTAGTAACTTTAATAATCGCAGGACTGTTTTTCGACTCCCTCCTCTGCTATCAACTCCATTGTATCGGTCAATTGTATTGAGGACATACTTCTCAAGAGGTGAGGTAGAAATACGCCACCAACGTTCGTTTCCAGCCAGGACCGCACCCGTGTACTCTTTTGTACAAATTTGCCACAGACTGTTACATCGCATTACGTCTTCTATTTTCTCTGTCATTTCTTTGTTAGGCCAAGTATCAGGAAACCTAAAGCCTGGTGGATTGCCAACCATTTGTAGTGTTGGGGCTAGATCCACTGACATTTCTTGCCGACCAGGTTTGTTTATTATGAGGTTCGCTGACGGTTCAGCTCTTCGGAGAGTGACACCTTGCATTTCATCACAGTACTTCAGTTCACTAGATGCTAATGCCTTTGCCACCAGACCATAGAACCAATCATATAGCTTAAAAGGTAGAAGGTAATGACTGTGGTCCATAAACGACTGCCATTTACGGTGAACGAGGGAAGTAGAAGATGAAAAACCCACATCCAGTTTATACATTGCGTAGCCTTGAGGACCAAGTGAACTTGGACCCTCTATCTGAATAAACAAATAAGTAAATAACTAACTAAATAAATGAGTAAATGAGTTAATTGATTGATTGATTAATTAATAAAAAAGTATGCTGATTACATCATGGCCTTTTTCCAAACCGACAAGTATACATGCCATTCACATGACTCAAGGTTCCTCATACACCCTCGCCGGGAAAAATATAAAAAATAATATATCCAATTATTATCAATGTCTGTAGTACAGTTATGAGTTATTTTCAAAGATTGCATTGTAAGAAAACAAACAATTCTAATTTAGAAGCCACTTTTAACTTTAGCAAGTTTAGTAGTTGTGATTCATGGTACATCTATGTCAAACAAATATTACAAGTTACACAGTTTACACTTGATGACCTAAATCAGAAAGACTTTGGTGAGATGTTCAAAGCAAAAATGTAAACATTTACCTTAGTAAATGGAAGAAGGAAATCACCAAAACAGATAATAAAAAAACTTTGCACTTATAAATCTTGTATTAAATTTGAACAATATTTAGAAAACATCAAGAACAGGAAATTTAGAAATGCTCTAACCAAATTCACGATTTCAGCCAATCAGCTACCAGTCGAAAAAGGTCGACATAGAGGCATTAAAAGAGAAGACAGATTCTGTCATCTGTGTAACTTTAATGAAGTTGGTGATGAAAAACATTACCTTTTCAGATGTAACCATGACAAAATTAGGGAATCAGGCAATCTATGTTTATGCCTCTAACCTACTCTAGCTAGAGATGATATTTTTCCCCGGGGTCCGACATAAAGAATGATCTGGTACGCATGTCAGTGAAAGAAAACGCGTTGAAAGGGTGTTTTTTTTAATGAAAAACACGTTAACGCGCGTTGCGCGTTTAGGGTCACCATTTCAGTCAAAATAGACAAAAAGGGTGTTTTTTTCCGGTACTGCCAACGTAATAAGGGTGGTTATTTTTTAAATGAGATTATCGTTTTTTTATTGCTTTAAGGAATTCAATGATCGCAAAAACTAGGAAAACGTCCGGCCCCCCTGGTTAACGACTTTCGATCACGGGCGATCACGGCATATGACCAACTCGTGCTTACACTGAAGGGTTAGAAAGCTCAAATATCGCGAGATCAGGCGCGAGTTCAAGGTGCGTGATCTTTTAGCTTTCCAACAGTGAAATGGGTAAGAAATTTTGACCTTTTAAAACGTGTTTACGATCATTTTGAAAACCCCTTTCATAGACATGGGTTCCAGGTATTTCCACAAGTCAGACCCCCGGGATATTTTTGTTTTGTTTTTTTTCAAGTTCTGATCTCTTTATTTGTAGCAGTCTTAGAAAAAAATGTTTTTCATGTTTTAGAAATGTTTTAGCGTATTTTATTTGTGTTATTTTGGACTTTACACTAGCTCTGTATTGTGTACGTGCCAAATCAAACATCCTATTCTATCCTACCCATATTGAATATTATTATTATTCAAAAAAGGTGCCCCATACAGCTTATTTATACCTATTTCATGATGGCACGCTTTCAATAGGTAATTTCTACATAGTGCCCGGTGGCGATTAGGGCCGTATTTGTACCTTACCTGTCCTTTCCATCCATCCGGTATTTTAAGGCATATGTTGTAATCGAACTCGTCGGCCTCGCGGACTTTGAGCTTTTCATGCGAGCTGCCAACACCAATGTTGCGAACGTAGCTTGCCTGAAACGTGGCGTCTTTCTGCATATGTTCGATAACTTTATCGACAATATCACAGACTGTCTTCTTGTTCCGTTCCATTTCATCACGTGACACCTTGGCGTCGTCTTGAAATTTTCGGTTCAACTGATAACATAGCCCAGTCGTTTTCGCCTCCAGTGAAAACTCAGAACATGACGCCATGGTGTAAATTACAGTGGAATCGGTCTAAAGGGCTGAAAATTATAAAATGTTCAGTGACCTTCTACTGTAACTGGGCGTCACCATTTCTACGAATTGGTTACGCACGTTAATCCGAGAGGGCGCTGTAACTGAAAAATACAGTTTAAACTGAAAGCTCTATTGTCGTCGAGAGATACATTAGGAAGTACAGGGAACGGCAGAAACCCGGCGTCGAAATGTTTTTTGTCGTTCACTGTAATACAAGTCCTATAATATATCCAATAGTTACGCTGTTCTATAGATATCATGGTCAAAAGTTTCATCAAATCGCTGAATGGCATGCAGAATTTTCTCATTAGCGAGCTGAAGATGACCTTAACACAAACACAACATTGTATTTGAAGTACTGTTTGGTATTATGCATACCAAATTTGATATTTAATAATAAACTTTTATTGCCATACTAGGTCACGGCCCATCACAATCTCAAGTTTACATTTCTTGAAAACAATAATAATACATAAATACATAAATTAACTGTAATATAAAATACTGCCCATCAAGAGGTTAATTTTAGTGCCTCTGACCTTAACTTAAAAGCTTGATATAGGAATTTTGACAAATTACAAAGTGTAATGGGTACCTCACTTGTTATTAATTTTATGAAAGTGTGGTGTCCCTGGTCATGTAATGACCAACGTGGTAATAGCTCGTCTCTATAGGCTTGGTATATGGGACATTCGAAAATTAGATGTAATTCGTTTTCAATTATTCCGCTATTGCATAATACACATTTCATTTCATTTCAGAACGATCTATATTATGCATACGGCCAGATTCTATTGCTATTTGGTGACTCAAGCAACGAAACCTTGATAAGGATTTCCTATGTTTGTTCACACTTACACTGATAATATATTTTTCTACAGTATAGTGTCGTTTTACCTGGCAGAACAAATTTAGGCGGCTCATAGTTTAGCATTCTTCCCACCATTCCTGTTACCACATGTCCCTAATTCTATGTGCAAAATTTGCGAGGAATGCAATTTCATTTCCCACCCCTTGATTGATCCACACTATCCCAAATCCATATCTATTCAAAATATCTCGAATATGCATTACCCAGTTAATTTTACTACGTTCGTCTTCCCGTACTAAAGAAGATACGATTGCTTATCAATCTTATTTTCTTATATACATAATAATTTTAACCACCATTTGATACATTTAATATATGTAGTAGTAAAAACTGGGTAACGTTCTAGTCCACCGAATACAGCTAAATTTTGGGGTATCCCCTTTAACTCCCAGAAATCTTTTACAGTATTTATAATAGACCCGCTCAATACATTCATACTTTTTAAAACCCCAAACTTCAGATCCATGAGTCAGAATTGGATATATATTGAGATCAAAAATTTTAAAATATAAATTATATGGCAATTCCCCAAATGTTTTCATATATCTGTTAACACTATGAAGAGCTTTACTAGCTTGGTCTGATAATGTTTCTGTAGCTTTGTGCCAAACATTCCTACTGGAGAAAACGATACCTAAATACTTATAATAAGAGACCACTTCTAAGTTTAGGCCATTATATGACCATTTCTCAGTTTTCTTAACAATACCCCCATTTCTGAAGACAATGATTTTGGTTTTTGATAGATTAACCTTCATTTCCCATTTTTCATTAAATAGACTGAGGACGTTTAGCAGTCTCTGTAGACCTATTACAGTATCAGCAAAGAAAACAATAGTATCTGCATAAAGCAGAATAAACAGGTCTTTCAATTCCTGTGTAATTTGAATACTCATGTAATCAGCGTTTTCAAGCATTACTTGCAATTCATTCATAAACATATCAAAAAGAAAGGGGCTTAATACACAGCCTTGCCTGACCCCTACTGAACAACTGTCATATATTCCCACTCTAACACATGCTTTAACATCTGCGTATATACTCTTAATTATTGTAAGCATTTTACCTCGTATACCATTTTCTAGCAACGACACAAACAACAAGGGGCGGTTGACGGTGTCAAACGCTTTTGCGAAGTCCACAAAAACACAATAAAATCTGCCACCTTTTTTCCCCAAATATTGTTGAATGATCGCGTACAGCGAGAAAACATTCATGGTGGAAAATCCTTTCCTGAACCCAGCTTGACATTCCGACAATTTATTACCCACTTCCGTCCAATATACAAGTCGTTCATTCATTACAATAGTGATCACTTTACTAAAGTTATCCAATAATGTGATACCTCGATAATTATTCACATTGCGGGTGTCTCCACTTTTGTGTATAGGTACGATAACCCCAGTTGACCAAACGGTCGGGAATTTTCCAGAATCAAAAATCAAGTTAAAAAGCTCAACAAGATATGGCATCAAAATATTTTCTGTTGCTTTAAGAAATTCACTATATAGGTATCCCATCCATCCCCGGTGCTTTTTGGCTTTTTAGTTTTTGAATGGCAGCTCGGATTTCCGCTTCAGTAATGGGCATGTTTAGGGAGGAGTCTATTAAGTCATCATCCAGATTATGCCCTGTGGTCACTGCTTCTGATATATTAGACTGAAATAAATTACAATAGTAATTAACCCACTCATCTGCCGAGATATCATCTTTCTCTCCTTTCCCCCGTAATGATCTGATATTGTCCCATAGGGTTTTATTGTCTTTCCCGTCCACTAAATGATCTTGATACTGATTTTTCTTTAATTTACACATTCACCTGAAATCACGTTTGCATTTGTTATACTCATCAAAAACTAACTGGCTATTGGAATCACGAAATTTACGTAGTTTGTTGTATTTGATCGATTTTAATTCCTTACATTCATCGTCAAACCATGGCGCATCAATATTTTTGACAATACGAGGCTTAAATTGCACTTTCATATCAGAACCGGCATATATTAAAATATTGCCAATGCATTCAATAGTATTATCAATATCGCCTCTATCTAGTGCATCCCTCACCGAACGCCATCTATCTGAGTCTGAAACTCTGTCTTTAAATGTAGTCCCAAGTTCCTGTTTCCACTTAAACTTAATAGTAATTCCATGCAGTTTTACCCCTAAATTAGTCGGTCTAATGCAGTAGGGCAATTCGTGCTTTAGATCCACCCATGCAACAATAGGTAAATGGTCAGAGTAATCACTTAAAAGAACTTAAAAGTGAGAAACCGAAATAAACATAGCCCATGAAAAAATCATATAATCAACAAGGCTACTGCCATTAGTAGCAAAGCAAGTAAATTCCCCTTTGGCGTCTGATTCTTTACGGCCATTCGCAATGTGTATATCAAAGGTTTTACATAGTGAAATTAGGGATCTCCCGTAATTATTTACTACTCTATCTTTTGAACATGTAAAATTATCACTTGAGTATATACCCACTGGTAAATAAGTGAAATTGTCGTCTATAATAAAATCATTTAGTTTGGCAGTTCTTGCATTTAGATCCCCAGTTAACACAATATCCACATTGGAATAATTGTTTAGAATATTTGTCATACACTCTTCTAAAAGATTAATACCATTCTCATCATGTAACATGTCATATGTTGCGGAATATTCAGGTGGGATGTAAGCACAAAAATAAATAACATCTCTTGAAGAATTAAAGTTAAAAAAACCATTTTGTAAATGTAGTATAATTATGTCCTGTAATTCACGCTTTAACAGAGTCGCACCATTTACTATGGAATTCTTGACATCCACAGCTACCCCGCCAGAGTTCCTTCCACGTTTATGCAATTTCTTTCTCGGTTTATTAAAACTTACATAACCAGGGATATCAGATGATTGTTCAGTTTCATCCCAAGTTTCCAGAAGACCAGTTATGTCATACTTCAAAATTAGATCTTTAAATTCATTAAATACTAGTTTACTTTTA